TTGGGGCTGCCGCAGTCTTCTTGTGTGAAGCGCCAGACCCCCTTCACACCAGATAACGATGATGATGATGTGTGTTCAGGGCTGCATTGCAATATGGATTGTTTGGATCATTCGTATCCAAGTCTTCCGCTGTGTTATCTTGTACTTCGTATTGAAAGGTCGGTTCTTGTTCTGGTCTGCACGTTACGGTATGCAACACAACTGTCTTTAAAACCGCCACTCGCCCGGACAACCGAAAACCGTCGGTCATGTGAGTTAGGGCCAGGTTCTACAGAAAAAAGGGGCCACGTCATGCTTATCTGGTCTTCTTACAAATCCTGGGCAGCATCTGATTTTCTTCTCATATCGGGTGACACTTAAGATTTTAGAGATGGTAGAATCATGACTGAGGCCTTGCCAAACTTAAGTGGTTTGTGCTCTAGGTTCCGTGATGCCAGACCGATGCTGGCCGGTGCTGGGGTATAGCCCTGTGACCTGCGGTAGCAGGAGCTTGAGGTCTGGTAGAAAGATCTGGGGATTCGTCGATGGAGGAAGACAATCCAGTGGTGAAATGGGAATTTGTTGACTGGTAGAGAGATCTGGGGATTCGTCGACTTGGGGGTGCTGCCATGACAACCTAAGGGGTTGGGTTTTGTCGCAGTGAGAACACATCAGATTTGGTTGGTACTGGCTGGGATGATACTGTCTCCGAGTGTTCATTCGGTACAAGGGAGAGGCTAGAAGTTGAGCATAGAATGTGAGGCCAGGTTATGCTGATGTAGTTTCTACCTTACCATAGACCTCACATACATCTCACATCATTAAGAAAAGAAAAAGGGGGGCACTACTAAGTAGGCTATGTCAAGATTTTCTGATTTTCTACAACCCTAGACAACATCTGGGTTTCCTCTTATATCAGTTGCAATATTTTATATATGGTAGAATTCTGGCTGATGCCTTGCAAAGCTGTGGTGTATTGTGCCTTTGGTTTGCCGATGCCAGAGAGACGCCGGCCGGCGCTGGGACGTAGCCCTGTGACCTGTCGTAGCAGGAGCTGGAGGCTGGTAGAGAGATCTGGGGATTCGTCGAGGTAGGAAGACAATCCAGTAGTGAACTAGGGGGTGCTGCCATGACTACCTAAGGAGCCGAGTATAGTCCAGGCAGTGTTACTGAGACCACGTCAGCTTTGATTGGTACTGATTGGGATGGCATTGTCTTTGAAAGTGTTGCATTTGGTATAGGGGGGCAGACCAGGAGTTCCTCACAGATTGTGAGGCCAGGATGTGCTGAGATAGCTTACCCTAGAATTAATGACATTAATATCATCATCATCAACGGCTACCCTCATCATCATAGCATCGGTAGTATCAATGGCATCAGGAAGGACACTGGGCCCAATTCCCCGTACAATCTGTTCCACCAACTCCAAGAAAAAAAAAAAAAAAGTTTGGAAAAAAACAGAAGGAATTTCAAAGACACCAGAAGGGCTAGATAGACTGAGAAATGCAAGGGGGAAGAAGAAGGATGTGGCGGTCCAGGAATCGGATGATAGATATAAATAAAGTTTAATAAACAAATAAATAAATGTCCTAATAAATAAATGAATATGGGAATTGAAAAAACTAAGAAGGGGTCTAAGCCTTAAACCACCCGTACTTCCTATAGTCGTGCCCGTTAACGCGCCACGATTTTAGGAAACGTACGGGCTACTACAGGAGCGCCCAAATTCATCCGACTAGAAACGTTTCTACTCTATTTTTTTCCGCAGCTGATAGCTGGGCCAAGTACTGGTGGTTTAATGCGAGTATCCTCAAGAATTATCCTACCATGCTCTGGTGCCCTATCATTTGGAAGGTAGAGCCTCGAGTGAACTGGGGGCTTAATGCAGACATGCAGAAAAACCGATGAATTGCGATTTTCTGCTATTGACAGTCCCTCTGATAACATGCAATGAGTGTTACCAGTACAGTGAAGCAGGAAAACACCACTGGTACCGTAAAACACGAAAAAAGAAAAGGACCAAAAGGCTAATCACTGATGGGTTGTGGAACTTGGAGAAGTTGGAGGTGGTCCAAAAGCTCATAGCACAGCGAGGAGTGCTACCACTGGTTCCTTACCTTCCCGCAATACCGCTCGAGTCCACCTTCTACGCACGTGTCACATCTAACATTCCGTTAACTTTCTCCAGAATTCTCCGAACCTATACCTCTCTCCGCCTTTCGAATAAAGATCAGGTGCAGTATCTGTCCTAATCAGTCCACTATCTCATCCGTGCTCCATCGGCTCATGTGAAAGGGGGAAAAATAAAAAAAACTCTCCAAAACTCTCCAAACCTCTCCAGATAATGGTCTCTCTTCATGCCTTGCCCGCTAGGTAGGGGTGCTTCGTAAGTTACTATCCACCGACCATTCCTAGAGCAGCCAAGATCATCTGTTGACGAAGTGTTCTGCGGTCAGCTACTCCTGCAAAGTCATTATTAGCCACTGATTGGAGAAAGCGCAGAGCATCATGCGCCGCGAGTAACACACTGAACAAGTCCAGGCCCTGCCCTGAGGGACCCACATCACTGGTATTATGATTCCTGCCGAGAATTTCCCGGACGGCATCCCGAATTCTAATCTCTCCGGTCATTGCTTTCCATGCGAGATCCCGCTTTCGCATTTCCAGTCCCATCGATCTGACTCTATTCATGAGTTTCATGTTCTTCCTGCGAACAAGCGCCAGACAGACTCCTGCTTCCTTCGCAACAGATTCAAACTCAGCTACCGTCCTCGCCAAGCCTGTGAACTGCTGAGCTCTCATTTTGGTGTTATGTTCAAGCCGTAGATAATTTAGACCTTGCAAGATGTTCCATGCTGAGCCCGCGAATGCACAACCTATGACACTAGTCAATGGAGTCATGACAAAATCGGCGTAGTCAAACTCGACTGCGGGGTTAGTGAATTTGCCTGCAACAGCAGCTGCACTTGTGTATGCGTCTGAAAGAACTTTACACCAAGCGCTGTCGTAGTCTGTCAGCTGGCATTCACCTTTTGCCAACCAATCCTGCCTTATGCTTTCCAGCCCATGATCTCCAGCCTTCAGGGCAACCTCCACTTCCTGTTTCACTTCAGCAAAGGTAGCCCACAGGTCTTGCGATGGGCGAGTGATGTTTTCCACTGACGTCTGAACAAGTGCCTTCACAGACCGACCATGGCGCCAACCCAAATCCCTCAGCGTGGAGGAGGCCAGCAAATCGGCCTCGCTTATGTCCCTGACATGCGCATTGCTAGCTGCCTTCAGGTACCACTTCAAAGCTGCTTCAGATTGAAAGTCTTTGCTACCATCAGATTCAGTGGAGTCCGACACTGACCAAGAAGACACACCACTGACAGCCTTCCCGCTCTGCGGACTGCCGGTCTGCTTCGTTGATTGTTGTTCAAAATGTAATCCGAGTGCAATCTGGGCAAAGAAGTACCCATTGTCTGCAGCTTTCTGAAGATGGTCTTCGCCCTGCTGCTCATTTATTTGCTGCCCAAGCTTTCCACGCAAGATAGAAAGGCCGGCCAATGTCTCAGCTTCTACACAACCCTGGTCCACTCCACTTTTCAGCCACTTCCACGCTTCGGGTTCAGATTTCTTCACACCAATTCCTTTTGCATAGCATGTGCTCAGCACTACCTTTGCCAGCGGATGATCCTCCCTTGCAGCTTTAGAAATCAACTCGACTCCTCTTGATGGATCCTTTTTAAAGCGATACAACCCCTTCAGATGGTAAAGACCCAGAAAGAAGTTGCTGCTTGGACATCCCGACCGCTCTGCCAGACTGACTGCCCGGGAATAGCCCTCCCCCCATGTGGATTCGGCACCAGTTCGAATGTAGAATTGACTCAGCAAGAACTGGGCCTCCTTTGCATACTTTGATGCAGAGGAAATCTCCTTGTTCAGAAGGTCGAACACCTCCTGTGGTTCTCTCCGTTGGCGAATGTAATACTCGGCCAGGACAATGGCCGCACCCTCCGTCCCGTCTTCCTTGGATGCCAGAAGTTTCCTTTCTGCAGTTGCCCGAGCATGAGAGTCAGAGTCACCTGCAGCAAGGATGCAGCGATTGAGGAGCACTCCTGCTCTATCATCTCCCTGCTCACTTGCTTGTCTAAAGCAATCTTCCGCCTTCTTCAAATCCATGGGTATCTTACCAGGAACTCCATAGTAGTGCCGCAACCCGCGACGTATCATCACCTCTGCTGACTGGATCCCAGATGGGTCAGCTGCACCCATAGATGCTTTCTGCCAAAAGCATGGTCCACATGCTGGATGGCGTGCACTCCATGACATTTGTGCTTCTCTTTCTGATTCATCACCTACCCGGTTATCTGACGCTCTTGCTCCTGAATTAGCTCGAGAATTTGTGGCAGTTGGCCATATCTGGCCGGGATTGTTCTCCTCCTCCTCATCATCACGGTGTTCTTCTGACAGATTCAGCCAGTATGATGCCAAATCTGCTGTTGTCCTCGCATTATGGTTATCATGGCTCGGCTCTGCACCCCCTCTCCACCGTGGTCTCAGCATGTCAAGCACCATATCGTATACAAATTGTGCTTATATACGGATTCTGCAGAAAACTGAACAGTATCTTCAGCTGGTGATTAGACTGGTGCCAAAGAACCCACCAACTAGATTTCTAGGTCGTGCTGCTAAGACATTTTACTGCCTCTGGTTATGTGGCAGGGAATCCACCAGTTGGCTCGTACTCCAGTGCACTTGAACTACTGGCCACCGGTCATTATCATCTTACCCAATGGCTTTCAAATGAGCAGCAGCTGCACAGACAAACCACGTGCAAAAGCGGATCAGAGTTTGAAGTTGCTGTTTCTATAAAAAAAATGCAGATTGGAGCACACACTCAGACAAGAGCCCTTGACTAAGCTTGCCATCATTGCTGCTGCCTTTTTTTTTTTTTTTTTTTTTTTTTTTTTTTTTTTTTTTTTGAGCTTGCTATAATTGCTGCTTCTATAAAGTAATCCCCTGATGCCGCTTTACACAAGCGTGCAGGGGGCGCCAGCCAAAACGGAAAAAAATTGCAGGTTCATTTTTTTTTCCTGGTGTGTAGCGTAAATTCGCCTTGGGGAAAAGAGGTTCGGAAGCACTGATGGTTTAAAGGACCATAGCATCCAAAACTAAATTGACTAACCAGAAAGTGCATTTTGAAAAGGTTGTACGGGTGCCGGAGGCACTGGAGGAGAGCTGGGAATTTTCTCGTGAATTTCGATAAGACCCTCAGGCAAAAGTTGTTTGTATTGCTGCTACTTTGCATTGTTGTATAACATTTTATTTTTTTCGGATTTTTTTTTTCCCGGCTCTCCTTCAGTGCTTAACCGGAAAAAAAACGTACGTACGTCGTACGTTCTATTTGAATTACCTCTGGAAATCGGGTTTTCAGAAATCACTTGTTTTTCCCCGAATAGAACGTACGTTCGAATATACCGTGCGTACGCTGTATTCGAATACAACGTACGTATGTTGTATTCGAATTTTTGGAACTTTGATTTTTCAAAAGTAATAAAAAAAATCCGGAAAAAAAAACAAAAGTTATACAACAATGCAATACAAACAACGTTTGCCTGGGGGTCTTATCGAAATTGACAAGAAAATTCGAGAAAAAAATAAAAACGAGGATGAAAATGTTTTTTACTGATGTTTTCAGAATTTCGATTTAAAAAAAAAAAAACAGTAAAAATCCGAAAAAAAGTATTGTAATGACCCGTCAATACACGGACTGAAACATACAGTCGATTTCTGATTTCTGCTCATAGGATGCATGCCGTACTAAGTTCCCTGCCTGTCGATGTGTTTGCTGGGTCTGAGTGCGTGCTTGTTTGYGGGTTRCATGACTGTGTGTGGCCTGCATGTTGTCGGAGTGCCTTGAGTGTGTGTGTGACCTGTATGGGTCTGTGATGGCTGGGCAGGCCCGTGGGAGGGCCGGTACTTACCTGTGGCATGGCGTTTGAGAGCTGCAGCCAGGGATACACTCAAGTGGTGTCGATAGCAGCCCCGCGACCCTTGGGGGGGTAGCGGGAAAACACTCAAGTAGGCCGGTAAGCATATGTGTGGGGTACTTGAGAGCCGGTAGGCCGAAATGTGGGTACTTGAAAGGCCGAGCAGAAAAGACAAAGTCGGCATTTTTAGAGTCCGGTAGCTGTGGGTAGGTCTAGGCCGGTACCAGTCTGCATCTAGAGCCTGTACGGGCAATATCAGAGTCTGCAATGATGTTTCCCTCCGAAACGGAGGAAGGTACCGGAGGCTGAGGAGGCCAAGCGGCCTGGAAGTCACCGCCCAAGAGGCAAGTTGGCCTCCTCAGCTTGTAGGTTTCTTCTGGGTCTGAAATTCGTTTCTCAATTCAGTAGAGGCAGAAAGTAGGTCTTTGTGGAACTGTTGTTGGTTGGGACCTAGTTCTGACTCCACTGGGACCTTTTGGGACTCAGTGGGACCAGGTTCCCAAACAATAAGGGCCCCTTAGGCATGAATCTGTTGAGGTCAGTGCTTTACTCTTTCTGATTGGGATTCGGGCTTTATGCTTTGGACTGAGACACTCGCTGCGGAGGGGATCTCCGCTGGGACGTTCTAKCAGACTGCACTGCACAATCCACCGCTTGATTCGCTCCTTGTACACCACTCAATTCTCTCCTGCATTTCGTTGTACATCTTGAATCTGGTTTGCTGTACTTCCACGGAACCTGGTTCGGTCAGGCTTGAGGGGATCTCATACGTGACCGGATCAGACTGTGTTGCTGAATCAGATCTCTCTGAATGATTAAATAC